TGTGTTGTGCTCCAATGAGAAGTTCACTTTTTTTTTCTTTTCTTTTCTTTTTTTTTTCTTGTGGCTGGGACTGTGGCTTGAATGCAGGGCCTGGGCACTCTCCCTGAGCTTTTTTACTTAAGACTAGCACTCTACTACTTGAACCACAGCTCCACTTCTGGCTTTTTTGGTAGCTTAGTAGAGGTGAGTCTCACAGACTTTCCTGCCTGGGGTGACTTTGAACCATAATCTTCAGATCTCAGCCTCTTCAGTAGCTAGGAATACAGGCATGAACCACTGGCTCCCATGTGAGAAGTTCAACTTTCTATCTTGTTGTTCATAGTAGCAAATTAATAGTTTCAGGTTTTATAAAGTCAAGCACTTACATTTGGCTACCACAAGGAGAAGATTCCTCAAGAAAGGGTATGTGATTTGTTGATCCAGGATTACGAGGAGTACTTGTATGAATATTTGAAGCATCATGTGCTAATCTCTGACTAGAGTCTTGGGGTGGTGTAGCAAAACTAGTCACAGAAGAATTATTTGATCCATTGCTTTTGTTCCCATTACACTGCTGGTTGAGCACTGATACCTCATTACCAAGGTTATCCATTCCAATATTTAGTTCACCAAGCTTCTGAATGGACCTATCAAATAAAACACAAATAGTGGAAAATAAAAACTTTATTACATTGCTAATGTATTGAAATTAAAGTTTAATAAATATATACACATAATATTTGGCAAAGTTAATGTTAAAAATTGCCAAAACCAAGATATAACCAGACACATAACCAAGACACGAAAGAAGATTGCCTCCTCCACACACCCCAACCCCCCCCCCCAAGTACTGCACTGTAAAGGAGACAGGCATAAAAGCACCTTTTGCCACCTTGGTGGCATGATTATAATCCTAGTACTGGGAAGCTAAAGCAACCATAAATTTGAGGCTAACCTAGACTGCATAGTAAGTTTAAGGCTAGGAGGGATACATAATAAGACTCTGCCTCAAAAAAATAACTTTTATCATAAAAGCAGAAAAAAAACAGCACAAAGGCAGAAAAACTCCAATATAACTTTGGCTTAATTTTCAACTTAAAATTTAATTTGAACCAGGTGCCAGTGACTCACACCGGTAATCCTAGCTATTCAAGAGGCTGAGATATGAGAATCTTGGTCTAAAGCCAGTCCAGAAAGGAAAGTCAGAGAGATTCTTATCTCCAATTAACCACCCAAAAAGCCAGAAGTATATCTGTAGCTCAAATGGTGGAATGCTTGCCTTGAGGAAAAAAAAAAAACAAACTCAGGGACAGCACCCAGACCCAGAGTTCAAGCCCCAGGATCAGCACACAACAAGTAAAAAGTAAGTAAATGAAAAATAATCAAATAAATTGCAGTACTTGTAAGCTAAGACAACAGGAGAACTCATAAAGTTAATCCATTAAAAATCCAGCATTTGTGTATACTTAGCCTGTTTAGCCTGTGAACAGACCTTCAAACAAGTACAAAAAAATATCATCTTCTGGGCTGGGAATGTGGCTTAGTGGCAGAGTGCTTGCCTAGCATGCATGAGGCCCTCAGCACCACATAAACAGAAAAAGCTGGAAGTGGTGATGTGGCTCAAGTGGTAGAGCGCTAGTCTTGAGCTGAAGAGCTGAGGGTCAGTGCCCAGGCCCAGAGTTCAAGTCCCACAACTGACAAAAAAAATCATCTTCTGAAACTTAAAACTCATTCTTCTGTATGAGTTTTGAATATAAAAATCCCTAGTATAGTTTGATGAGGACATTGACAACCTGTTCAAGTTGGCTCTAAGAATAAACCTGATCATTTCAAAACAAAAATAAAAATAAAAAATAAAAAGGGTCCTGAGATCAAATACATTTAGGAAATATTGAGTTTAGACCAATGAGCTCCGTTCCCATGGCTTAGAAAACTCCTTCTCCTTCCCACAGCTTGGTATGTTCCTTTCCTAGGCAACACTAGGCCCATTTAGCAGAGGCAGTAAATCAGCCTCCAACCCCCTTTACCTTGAGATGGAACTCCTCTGGAGCAGCTACCACCATATAAGGCAGAAAGATCCCCTCAAAGTGACCTTCAGATCTGGGCAGCAGCAAGGCCCCTTATCTATTACTTGGGCAGCAGCCATCAGCCCTAGATCACCATGATGAAGCCCCTGGCTCTCACGTCCATACCAAAGTCTCTGAATCCTAGCCCCTTCTAGCCCCTCTTAGCCTCAGTAAGTTATATAGGTCACCCCAGAGAATAGGTGGCACTTCTTTCTTGTGAGAAGGAGTCTTGACGGTCCCTTTCCTGGCAATAAACCTTTTCTTTGTTCTTTGTATCTGGATGTCTGTGTGGTTTAGTAGTTTCATGGCCTGCCCAGGCAGGCTTTGAACCGTGATCCTCAGATCTCAGCCACCTGAGTAGCTAGGATTACAGGCGTGAGCCACCAGTGCCTGGCTTTTCTATGGATTTCTATAACATGCTTTTTCCTTTAATATAATTTCAAACTAATCATCAAAGACCTTGAATAGGATGCTTTAACAACAACATACTCTAAACTGAACCTAAATTATTTTATAACTTAAGTTTTACTAAAAAAACAAGAATAGACATTCTTCAATAGTTTAGCTTATTGTTAATGAGGATGTATCTACTACTATTAGGGTTCCAGAACTTTCTACTTCATCTTAAATCAATGCTAGGTATCTTCTATTGCTAAAAAATAAATTTGTGAGAAAGCCAAATTGCAACTATGCTTTTAGGGGTACAAAGAAAACATCCAAAAACCAGAAGGATTAACTGAGAAGCTACAGAGTTGATCAGAGGTGGTAAGAAAACAAGCCCTAATTTGAATGTTCAGAGGCCCACTTAAACTGAGGTCATCACTATAAATACTCCTTGTGTGAAGATAGGATCAGTTTCAGGCTCCCTGACTTACACAACACTTAAAATGTCAAGCAGATGGCCTCCACTATTATTGGTCCAAGTAAAGAGAAAGTCACTGCAGTTGCCAAATCATCATCATGAAACCAACTCCACGGAGACTTCCCTTGAGCCAGAAACTCTTCTGCTTTTACAGGTATTGACTCATTTAATCTTTCCACCACTCCTTGTTCATTTAAATATGTTTATATATTCTGCTGGGTGTTAGTGGCTTATACCTGTTATCCTAGCTACTCACAATCTGTGGATTATGTTTCAAAGCCAGCCTAGGCAGAAAAATCCTCAAAACTCCATTTCAAGATATATATATATATATATATATATATATATATATACTGAAAAAAAAATTTTTTGGG